GATCTCAGCTCAGAAACGTTCAAATGGGCTGAAATTTTGAGCATATGTTGGGGCTGAAGTGGGGAGGCTGTGGTAAAATTTTCAGCTCGATTTACTGGGATTTAACAGAGATACAGACCAAACAAGGGTCAAAAATAGCTCATTTTGGTACAACGATTTCTCAGTCCAGGCTGGGTAAATATATTTAAATTTTTTTTTGTTGGAAAGAGCGCGTCGAGATGCAGGTTACCATAGAGTCCTTTTTTTAAATTCTTACTTTTTTAGCGGAAAAAGAGAATCACAAGTTCAATGACTCAAAAAAAGCGCCAAAAATGAGTGTCTATGTGCGTATACCCAATAAAAAACAAAGCTTAATTTAAAAAAGGACTCTATGGTGACCTGCATCTCGACGCGCTCTTTCAAACAAAAAAAATTTAAATATATTTACTGAGCGTGGACTGAGAAATCCTTGTACTAAGATCAAAAAATCATAAACCGAGAAAAAACGAAAAAGATTTTTTGATTTTTCAAAAAACCGGCGGTTTTTCAAATAGGGATTGTCAGGAATCTCGAAAAGTTTTTGAAAAAAATGATATATCGAGGAAAAGTTTTTATCATTTCTGAAACAGCAAATAACGGACTATCTCCCCATGTATTTATCTCAATTTTGACCATTCTAGCGAAAACTGACTTTTTTTGAGGGGAGGAGGGGAGGGGGGGCTTAAAGACTATGATTTTTGTTTGTCATAATTTTATGTTCAAGCTCACTTATAAAATTCTAATTTATTGATAAAGCACTTGCTCGCTGATACAGCGTTGAGCAACAAACTAATCACAATAAATAATTAAATAATGATCGTCATTTTTAACCAATATTGGTCGAATAATTTAAATCATAGTGACTAAGTGATCTTCATAATCTCCTCCACGACTGTTTTAACCATAGTTATCAGGTGACCACTATAACCAAGCTATTCTGTTACACGCAGCCAAGGATAGTGGATCTCCGTTCATAGCAATAAAGAATCATATTCGTATCGCTATGCTGTTAGTTTAGGCCCAAGTGAATTGACTGTCGATGAACGTTACTTGTTCTGAAGATGAATAAAAATAAATTCACATCTTGAAAACTTTTTTCTGGGAAGTTAGATAAAATAAAATAGTTGAAAATGAAAAAAATATATTCATAGAATTTATTTGTTTATCCATAAGAAAAGGGATGATGATTATAGTTAACGAATTTTATACGAACTCTTTAACTATCCATCCACTTTCGTTTCGAATGGCATTGGATCTGAACGCGTTTCTATAAATTGAATGTATTGATAAGTGTACCATTTCAAACGCGTTTTATCGATTCTGTCAAATAAAAAGCGTTCATCGGACGATAGAAAGCTTTCTTCAATAATTCAATATGATCGTAACGCATATAAAGATAGGAATGAGTTTCAATGCGTTTTGAACGAAATTTTGAACGCATTCCTACGCGTTTATTTATACTATTATCGGCAAACTGTAAACATTCTCTAAACGCGTTCAAATGGAACTATGGTGGATGCATTTTCCTGCATTTTCATCATGCCACAATACAGGAACTCGTCAGAACGTCAAAATTTGCAACAAAAATGCGTTTAGTGATTACGTGGGTTAAGATTGATAATTTCATGGTCAAATGGTCATCATGCATATGTTATTTTTGTAGAGAATAAATCGAAAACATTTTATACTCATGTTGGTTTGCCTCAGAGCAGTACTTTGAGCCCACATCTGTTCATTGTTTATCATTGTGATCTTGTTGCAAGTTTAGGTGCTCATTCTAGCCACATATTTGCGGGCGATCTCAACTTACTCATATCCCCACCAATATGCCGAGGAATTAAGCAGACCATTAAGTTTTTAGAAGAAGGAGGAACAAAAATATGTAATAATGTAGCAAATTATTCTAAGAACTGGAAACAACCAGTTAATCTGTCTAAAACAGTTGTGCAAGTTTTTCATTCACAGGTACAAAATCCAGTAGTGAATGTCTGTATGAGGGGTTAAAGAGTGGAACTAGTTAAGGAATTTGAATATTTAGGTTTTACTTGGACAAATAAGATGTCTTTAAAACCAACGATTGATAAAACCCTCGAAAACATTCACAAAACGTTTAGTAAATTAAAGTGTGAAAAGTAGTAAATCTCTCTGAAAAGATGTCTTGCGAAGATGTTTTTTTGCTTAGTTTTTCATATTTTGCCTGGCTATTCTCCCTATATCCAGTCCTACCCAAAACTAAAACAAATTAAGAAAATCTAGGAACGGATTAAGACTGGTTCATCGCTGATCCTTTGCTAGAGCAACAAACCTTCTCCAAATAACCAATGAGGAGTCACTAGAAGTATATGTAAAAAGATATATAAACAAAAGATTAGAACGAATAGAAAATCTGATTTCGGCCGCTCGCCTTGTTACAACGATATTTTTTACGGAGATGCATCATTTCATAAGAGTAAAAATGATCACATAGGTCATTTTTTTCGAATGAAGCGAGTCAGACATATGCGAGAAAGACATCAATGTCTGCTTCTTCACTCGCTTGAATTTTTAACTATGTGAAATCTGCCAGGTTATTGTTTGTTGCTGCTCTTTCTCTTTCGTTCTTTTCTTTCAGGTCTTTTTTTC